ACTCGCAGGAAATTTGATTCAAAAAGTCTATTCTTATCAGTGAAAAAATAAATTACAACTATTCCTTACTAAGCATCCATGTAAATTATGTTAATTAATCCTACAATGGTCATATGGATGAGCTCTTATTCCCATTCAGGAGAAATGGGATATTTTGAGATAGCATTCAGTGTTTACCATGAGTTGGATACTACAGTAAGTGTCTTAATACACTATTTTGGTAAATTCTCATGACTGCTTTTTGACTATTATTGTGTCTATTTCACAGATGAAAAGAAAGAGACATAGAGAGGATAAGATTTAAAAAGCAGTAGTTGAGAAGTAGGGGCAGGAGGATTTCAAGTCTAGGTCAGCTTGGGCTACATAGAGAGTTCAAGGCCAGTAACCTTGTCAAAAGAAGAAGAAGAAGGAAGAGGAGGAAGAGGAAGAGGAGGAAGGGGAGGAAGAAGAGAAGGGGGAGGAGGGGGAGGAGGAGGAGGGGGAGGAAGAGGGAAGAAGGGAGGGAAAGGAGGAGAAGGAGAAGGAAGAAGAGGGATAAAAATGACAGAGAGAGTGGCTGGGAAGATGGCTCAGTGGTGGAGTGCTTGGCTTGCATGCATGAGACCCTGGGTTCGATTCCTCAGCACCACATAAGCAGAAAAAGCCGGAAGTGGGGCTGATGCTCAAGTGGTAGAGTGCTAGCCTTGAGCTGAAGAGCTTTCAGGTCCCACGACCGACCCCCCCCCCAAAAAAAAATGACAGAGAGAGATACAGGCCCAAGTGGCTCAGGCCTATAAACCTAGCTACCAAGATAGCTGAGATCTGAGGATTGGGAATTAAAGCCATCCTGGGCGGGGAAAGTCCTTGAGATTTTTATCTCCAATTAACCACCTAAAAATCCAGAAGTGGAGCTGTGGCTCAAAGTGGTAAAGCTCTAGTCTTGAGCATAAAAGCTTAGGGACAGTGTGCAGGCCCTGAGTTCAAGCCCCACAACCGACAACAAACTAAACTAAACCGAAAGGACTGGGAGAAAATAAGTGTCAAGATTCAAGTGGAGACTTCCCCAAAGAACAGCACATGAAGGTGGGAGGGGGTGGTGGGAACTTGGGAAAAAAATGGCTTGTGGAGTGTGAAATGTGCGATGTCAAGAGAGACCATTTCCATCTGAGAGACCATTTTTGCTGTCTGAGTTTTTTTTCCTCCCTGGAACCTCACAGCAGACCAGCCAGCTTTCTTGTTCATTTTCTTAATACCTCCTGTTCACTGAATCTTTAAAGGAAACATTTAGCTACTGCAACCACTGTGTATAAGTTGGTTGCATAATAGGAAGGCAACATGCCAGGACTGGCATCTTCATTTCCAAAGAAGGCTTTTTAAAGCCCACTAAGAGCTGTTCACACAGTGGGTCATGACTTGGGAGTTCCTCTATGCCCTTTCATTGCTATGGTAACGAGGAGCTGCTGCTTCCCACAGCCAGGAAAAGCAGCTGACAGCTCAATGCTAGAGACCTAAGAAGAGAGGGTGACAAGAAACAAAACCAAACCAAAAAAAAAAATTAAACAAGAAACCCCTTTCTTTTTGAATGTCAGGGAGAGAAGAAGAAGAAAATACTCCCAGGGCAAGTCAAAAGCCCTATTCTTGCCTTTAGAAAAGATCTGAAAGGAAAAATGTTGGGGGCCTTCCCCTCTGTCCAAGTAGGGCAATAAAGCAGGACGGACTGCAAAGCGGTCTGTCTCCTGACTTAGCCTAAGGCAGGCTGCAACAGAAATTGCTCCTTGGTTTCACTTGACTGGGCCATTAAGCAGCTGCCAATTGGTGAAGCAGAAAGACTCACAGTAACAAATAGCTCATGTTGGGGTCCCCCAGGGGGAATGTCAGATGTCTTTCCATGTCTTTGAATTGAAAAAAAAAAGACAACTCAAAGAATATGTTCTTTTTAATCTCCAACCTTGCAACTAGAAACACCATCTTAGATGCAGTATGGATACCCCACTGTTATGTAAGATTTCTTATGAATAAAATCCACTAAAATTCCCATGTGTTAAGTGTTCTGTCAGGTCCTATACTTGGTGGTTAGTAAATATTGCATTTGGTTTTTCATTAAAATGATGATTAATCATTGTAAGAGGTGTTTTAAATCTGCCTTTTGTCTTTTCTTGAGAAACATTGACAGCTTACTCTGATACTTGGAAGAGGATAAAGGCTAGACATTCTAGAGTTTTCCATTTTGTATCCATGTCTTTTGCCCCAAGCCATCCTCTCCTACAGTCACTTGTAGTCATCCTGGAATCCAGGAAATACCAGCTCACCTAGCCATGCAATCCTGAGCTCACCTGAGCAATCCTGAGATAACCAACTGCCAGACCACCAGAAGCCATCTCTGAGTCTGCCTGTGACTTAGAACTGTAGTAACTATGCATACTTTCTCCCTGTCTGCCCCCAGTTCTCTCTATTTAACCTAAGACAAAAGTTTGAGCCTCTGAAAATAGCTGATGATGGCAAAACTTGTCTTCCCATGGCTGCTGCATAATAAATCACCTTTCTTTGCCCTTCACCTAGATGTTTCTTTATTTGGCATATGGGGGCAAGCGCTGGACTTATATCTGGAGCTCCTGGAGATTGAGCAAAGGGTCAAAAACTACAGTTTCGCTGTTTTGCTGACTACTTGGGTAAATGAGTACAAGCAAGTATGAAGTAGATGCTTACCCTGTAGAAGGTAGAGTCAGGGGTCCTGCCTAGGTGTATGAGGCTCAGAAGTCCATGTTCTTCTTCTGTGCTGACTCAGAGCTATGTGATGAGTAGAATGTTTACAAGGAAGAAATAAGGGAATCCCTTTCTCCACTGTTTTTTCAACAGTAACTCTAATTAGGCCAATACTTTTATATTTGCTCTGATCAATGGATTAATTTGTATATACCAAGCATTGTTGCTTTCCTCACTAGATTTTCGCATCAAGTTTCTTCAGCATCTAATTTTGCATTCCTAGTTCACAAATGAAGAGACAGAGGCACAAAAAGGTAAAGTTATTTGTCCTAAATCTTGGTGTTATTTAGTGGAAAAGTCTATATATAAACCAAGTCTGTGTGTTCAAGTATCATAAGCCAAATCTACACAGTCATATATAACCAGAGCCCATGGTCTTACTGAAATTATTAGACTAGCTTCCTACCTAGGGAGAAGTTTTGGTTAGGACCACACACTCTGTTTTCCAGAGCTCAGTTTTTTGATGCTAATGAAAGCCATGCTGGTTTATCTTCTGCCAAAGCCAGAAGATGCCTCTGTGAGACATGTAAGAATCATACTCTGGCCTAGCTAGATAGTATCTCTCAGGCAGCTAGACCTATCAGGGAAATTCTCTTGAATTTAAGGGGGCCCCTTTTCCACAAAGCCAGGAGAACTTCCTGAACTGAAAAGTGATAAGAAAGTGATAAAAGTAAAGCACACCCCAAGCTTTAATAAAAGTTGTTTATGTCCTACTTGATTGAAAAATGTTCCCAACATGTGCTAAAAATACCAACATTTCAGTATTGCTACAAGTCAACTGAGTAAAAATAACACTTAAGAGGAAATGAAATGAAGAATATTTGGGGCTTATCCGGATACATCACTACACACTTCATTTCTGGCATCACTATTTATTATTTTTGCTTAGTTGATGCATGAGATGGTGTCAGGAAAAGCTACTGGAGATTAAATCCCAAAAGGAGAAGGAAAATAATCTCCAGCATTCTAATTGCTCAATGGCTGCACTAAAATTCTCTGAAAGAAAAAAGACATGATCCACAAATGATGCATACCTATTCTTTTCCAAAATGCAGAAGGCAATGCGAGTTAACTGAATGTTAAAACAGATGAAATAGATTTCTCTGTTTAGATAGATCTTATTGGGTGGAAAGAAATAGAATTTTAATCTTCCTTAACTATCGTATCTTTTAAGAAAAAAGCCACAGCCATAATCATGTAGATCCAAGTAAGCTGTCAGCTAAAGAAGGTGGTATATAAGAGAAAGGGGAGAATAAAAAGAAAGATTTTACTGAGTTAGATTGAGTGAACATTTCTATTCAGAATGCTGAGACTCATGGCCAGGAAGCAGATACAATAGCAAGGTGACATATTTAGCCTCTGCAGAAGGAAGGCAGTGAAATCAAAATAGCCCTGCAGTACCTCTTGCTGCAGTGTTTGTGCAGTATTGATCTGTAGTTGAAAGCATGGTTTCTACAGGGTGACCTTTAATGTCTGGAGGAATGAGTAAGCATCAGTGGCATTTACTGGTGCATTGTAGAAGACAGAGACAGCATCTTATAACACAAGAGCTATCAGAATGTCTTTAGCTCTTTAATTCTCCTTCCTTCATTTGGCTTTTTCTAAATAAGACAGCATCTGAAATTAGAGAAATATTATGCCCATGTGTAGTGCAGATCTTAACAAATGACAGGAGGCATGAAAATATTCATTATAAAGCAATACAAAGAGGATCGGCAAGGGATAACAACACACAAAAAATGACCCAATAAGAATATATGATTAGAGGAGTTTTCCTATCTTAGAAAAGCAAAATATTATAATTCTACAATGTTTTTAGGTACAGATTGTGCTGGTGACTGAATAACTAGATAATTTAAATATGGAATACAAATTATTTCAGTTTAAAAATTATTTATTTTAGAACACAATTTTCCCTATGGTTTATTTCATGTTTAGTAAAATATATTTACAAAAGATATTTAAGCTTCACTACGGTCTTAATGCTACTCGGGCTAACAACTATTTTTTTTTATCTTTGCTCTTGGTCCTTATAAAACCATCATTTGCTAGAGTTTGCAATTTAATCTTGTAGGGAAAAGGAAAACATAGATATAGATGGTAAAATTTCCTATTCAGGATCGTTTCTATACATCATATATAGAATATTTTTAATGAATGGCTTTGTATTACTTAAGCAAACATATTAAACAGTTAGATCATAACACAACCATTTTAACAAAAGCAATTAGTAATGCAGTAAATATATTGAAATTTACCTTCAGATAGGTGGCTGGACCCAGAGTTCTAGTAGAAAACTGAAGTTGAAGTTCAATCCCCTCTTTGCTTCCAGCAGGAAATAAAAGTTTGACAAATACCCAAGAGAAACTCTTTCAACCCCTTCTCTCGTTTAGCTCTGCTTTCTCTGCTCAGAAACACATTCTAGTCTATTGGAGTTGAAATTCTGCTGCTCTGTCAACTAGTCCGGGTCTGAAGTGACAGATGAGAATTTGGAGGCTGGCAGCAAGGGAGTGTTTCAGACTGTCATCAGTTTGGTTGCAGATTCCTGGATCTCTGTAGCAGGCTGGCCTCTTCTGAGGGCAAGATGAGCTTTGCAGGCAGTGCAAGCCCAGAGGGAAAAAGCAAGTCTGCTGGCGCGCATGGAGTTAACAGCCCCCACCTCCCCCCCACCCCAGCTCCTGTTCTCACAGGCTCATAACTTGGCCAGAATATAAGCACTTGGCTCTTTGTGCTTGCTTTTTCTTTTTTTTTTTTTCCAAACAGCTCTGAAAGATTTTTATAAGCAATATTTCTTGGTGGGGGGAGAATTTTATTTTAAGATTTTGAAAAGAAACTTCATGTCAGTGTTTCTTCCTAAGAACAAGCGAGGCATAGGGGTTAAAGAAGAAAAGAAAAATTGTAGCATATAACATTTTTTCCATGGCTTGATTGCATGGATGATGACATGAATGCAGTCTGAATGTTAATAGCAGGCCACTTCAGCAACTGTGACATTTTTTTAAGTGAGCTTTGGGAATTTAGATTTATCTGAACCATTGCTCCTGGTATTATAGCTCACTGGTATGCTGATTCAGAGATGTGGCAATTATAGAATCCTTTATCCCTGCTTCCTACTCTAATCCTGTGCTTGTAAGGTTTGTTCTCTAGGAAGGTGTCTGCCAGCTGGAAATGTGTGCTTATTTTTGACCTGGCATTCTGTTATTTATGAATGTCTAATCTCTTCTATTATGAATTCCCACCTATGTGTATTGCACATTTGTTATGTGTCAGACACTGTGTCAACAGCTTTTTATGCATTGTATCAGTTGACTAGTAAGTCTATCAGAAGTAAGTTTAACTATGTTCTTCTCATTTGGTGGGCATAATGGCTAAGTGTTCAGAATTTGAAGCCAGGAAACTTAGATTTATATCTTAGCCTATTTGTGTGTGTGTGTGTGTGTGTGTGTGTGTGTGTGTGTGTGCGTGCACGTGCGCTAGTGGTACAGGGGCATGAAGTCAGGGCTTAGAAGCTATCTCTTAGCTTGTTTGCTCAAGGCTGGCTTTTTGGTGATTAGTTGGAGATAAGAGTTTCACAGATTATACTGCTCCAGCTGGCTTTGAATCGAGATTCTCACATCTAAGCCTCTTGAGTAGGTAGGATTATAGGTGTGAGTCAATGGTGCCTGACTTCTCTATCTCTATCTCTATCTCTATCTCTTTCTCTTTCTCTTTCTTTGTTGTCTCTGTCTCTGTCTGTCTGTCTCTCTCTCTCAACTGCAAGAACAGACATATGTTATATAACCTCTCCAAGCTTCATTCAGCATCTTTATCTATATGATGGAGCTATACATGGAAATGATCACAATATATTTCTGGCAATTTTTCTGAATTTTAAGAAACCCACTATAAGAAAACTACATAAGACACTGCCTGTCGCTTATTAAACACTCAATAAATGTTAGCTACGATAGTTTATGTAAGAGACTTGATTAGGTAAAGTGATTTTTTCAGGGTCTCTATCTGTAATCAGTGAAATGGAATTCCAAATCAAGCTAATTAGTAAGGTGGAATTCCCAACCACCTTGTTTAACAGTCATACTTGTGTTAGGCGACTTATCATCTCTTTCTGAGCAAGCTGGTAAGTTCTATGGAGTCAGAGATATGCTTCTCTCTATTTTACTAGAATGTAGGAGATGTGCTTTCTTCACATTCTGGAATTGCTCTTGAAAACATGAGATAAATGATTGCAACTTAATGAAGTTAAAATATCTAAATGGATGCCAAAGTCCAGTCCAAAGAAAAACAAACCTCCAACCCTCAAAAAGCAACCTAATAAAAACAAAGCAAAATAAAATATAAGCAAAGCCCTGAGCTATAAAGCTAGGTAAATACACCTTCATCCAAATCTCTCAAAGCACTTTGGAAACATTTGTTTATTTTCAGAACACTACAAGAGAAAGGTAACAAGAATTATCTCTATTTTGCAGGTGGACACATTCGGGAGCAGAGGAAACTGGGCAGTGTGCCTAGAAACCAAAAACAAATCGCAATGCAGCTGGGGACTATCTCCGTCTCAGGACAGGATTACTGGCTCCAAAGTGCCTTTCCAGAAACAGGATGAAAGGATAGGATGTCCTTGGGTCTTAGACAATGGAGTGTTTTCCTTAGCCAGTGTCAGAAGTCTCCTCTGAGGAAGAGGAAAGAGTGGGCTCTGTTGGTTTTTCTTCTCTTCAGCTTATGTGTACATCTGGCCATAGACATGTGGAGCGTGCAGGCGCCATTACTTCATTACTTCAAAGATGTCCTGGGGAACATGAGAGTTGTGAGATCTTTGCAGGAGATATAGGAAAAGCATTTCAGAGGATTTTTTCTTTTCTTTTTTTTTTTTGGTCGGTCGTGGGGCTTGAACTCTGGGCCTGGACTCTGTCCCTCAGTTCTTCAGCTCAAGGTGAGTGCTCTACCACTGGAGCCACAGCACCACTTCTGGTTTTCTGAGTGGTTTATTGGAGATAAGAGTCTCATGGACTTTCCTGCCCCTGCTGGCTTTGAATTGGGCCCCTCGGATCTCAGCCTCCTGAGTAGCTAGGTTGACAAGCGTGAGCCACTGGCGCTCGGGGAGGATTTTCTTGTATTGGCTTAAAGATTTTCTTTTTTTTTAATTAATTAATTTATTTTTTATTTGTGAACATACTGTACAGAGGGGTTACAATTCATGGGCAGGATAATGCGTACATTTCTTACCAAGCATTGCAGCCTCCTCCTTTGGTTTACTCTTCACATCCCTTCCCAGCCTCCCCCCTCCCCCCCAATCCCAACCCTTCTCCTCCCCCCCCACCCTACCGACATTGTAAAGCTCGTTTTGGACATGACAACTTATACTTCTCATTGTTGCATCAGGTCCACCTGTATCCTTAAACAACTGTTTTTTCCCCCTCTCCTCCACAAGTTATACTGACTTCAAATATAGTGAAAGCAGGGGTTATACTGTGGGGGAGGGACATACAAAGCAACAAAGAGATAGTCTTATAAATGCGTTAGAAACACATGCATGAAAGAAAAAAACATTAAAATACATGTCTAAGGGTTCATTTTCCTGACATCACATTATCTGACCTTTTCCGCTTGACTCATACATATACTAGATATTGCAAATAAGGGAAACCATGGGACCTATGTTTCTTTGGGCCTGGCTTACTTCACTTAATATAATTTTTTCCAAGCCTTTCCATTTCCTAACAAATGGGGCAATGTCATTCTTTCTGATGGAGGCATAGAATTCCATTGTGTATATATACCACATTTTCTTGATCCATTCATCTACTGAGGGGCATCTGGGCTGGTTCCATAGCTTAGCTATGGTAAATAATGCTGCAATGAACATAGTTGTGCTGGTAGCTTTAGTGTGGTCTTGTTTGTAAGCATTTGGGTAAATGCCCAAAAGTGGGATTGCTGGGTCATAGGGGAGCTCTATGTGAAGTCTTTTGAGGAACCTCCATACTGCTTTCCAAAGTGGTTGAACAAGTTTACATTCCCACCAACAATGAAGTAAGGTTCCTTTCTGTCCACATCCCCTCCAGCATCTGTTGTTGTTAGAGTTCTTGATTTTTGCCGTTCTAACTGGAGTGAGGTGGTATCTCAATGTTGTTTTGATTTGCATTTCTTTTATGGCTAGGGATGTTGAACATTTCTTCATGTGTCTATTGGCCATCCTTCTTTCTTCTTCAGAGAAGTTTCTCTTTAAGTCTTTCGCCCACTTGTTTATTGGGCAGTTGTTTCTTTGAGGATTTGTTGTTGGGGGGTTTAATTTTTTGAGTTCCAAGTATATTTTAGATATGAGACCCTTGTCTGTTGTATGGCTAGTAAAGATCTTCTCCCAATCCGTGGGCTTTCTATTGATCTTGCTAGCTATGTCATTTGCCCTGCAGAAGCTCTGCAACTTTATGCAGTCCCATTTGTCCAACCTTTCTTTGATTTGTTGTGTTTCCGGGTCTCTATTCAAAAAATTTCGGCCTGAGCCAAGGAGACCTAGGGTCTCTCCTATTCCATGCTGTTAAAGATTTTCTTAGGGACCCCAATTTAATAAATTGGAGGTGGCTTTGAGATTGATTTCAAGGATTATGCCGACAAAATTTAAATGGAAGAGCTATGGAAATCAAATATTTTTCTAGTATTAAAAATAGACATATTTCTAGGAAATCATCAAAAATTTCTTATTGAAGGATGGGTTAATGTAAAAATCTCTTTTGGTAGTACTTGAACTCAGAGCTTCACACTTGGTAGGTAGGAGCTTTCCCACTTGATCTCCACCTCCAGCCCTTTTTGCTTTAGTGTGTTTTTGAGGTTGGGTCTTATTTTTTGCCTGGGCTGACCTGGAGCTTGGTCCACCTGTTCACACTATCCGCTATAGCAGGAATGTCATCATATCCAGCCTTTACTCTTGAGATGGAGCCTTATGGACATTTTGCCTGAGTTGGTTTCAAATTGTGATGCTTTCAATCTCAAACTCCCAAATGTAAAAATAATTTGCTTATGCCAGGCACTGGTGGCTCACACCTGTAATCCTAGCTTCTCAGGAGGCTGAGATCTGAGGATCGCAGTTCAAAGCCAGCCCAGGCAGGAAAGTCCGAGAGACTCTTATCTCCAATAAACCACTCAGAAAACCAGAAGTGGTGCTGTGGCTCAAGTAGTAGAGCACTAGCCTTGAGCTGACAACCTGAGGGACAGTGCCCAGGCCCAGAGTTCAAGCCCCATGACTGATATCACCATCATCATCATCATCATCATCATCATCATCATCATCATCATCATCATTATCAAATAATATAATAATAAATTTGCTTAAGCCAACAGACTTCATATCCTAAATGTAAATGTGTAGCCAGATAGTTCATTTGTAGATTGTAAAGCTTTGGAACTTTTATCAATTTTATAGAAGGATTTGTTAATCTATGACATGATTGAAAAAAATCTATTGCTTAGGGCTGGGAAGGTGGCTCAGTGGGAAAGCGCTTGCCTTGCATGCATTAGGCCCTGGGTTCGATTCTTCAGCACCACATAAGCAGAAAAAAAAGCCAGAAGTGGTAGAGTGCTGTGGCTTAAGTGGTAGAGCACTAGCC